GCCGGCGTTGGATGGCCGGCGTTGGATGGCCGGCGTTGGATGGCCGGCGTTGGATGGCCGGCGTTGGATGGCCGGCGTTGGATGGCCGGCGTTGGATGGCCGGCGTTGGATGGCCGGCGTTGGATGGCCGGCGTTGGATGGCCGGCGTTGGATGGCCGGGTTAGTTTCCTTTAAATGTGGGAGGGTTTCTTAGATTCTAGCGAACATTTTCAAACTTAGAACTTTCTGGCAGATTCTAGATTAAACTTAATATCCAACTTCAAAACGTGCAAAAATGTTTTTTTCGAAATAATTATACCTCGAGTACGAAAAATTATACAACTAAATATACTACTATAACTAGAGTATATTTAAAGTTGAGAGAGGGGCCCGGTCTATAATTTAACCGAATCAGTTTTGCCTGAGATGCGTATATATATGTGTATGTATTTATTAATCATCCTTCTATCTTTTACCTCACTAGTATTTACTTCACAAGGCTTGAAAGTAATTTACGATCATGATAGCCCCAAGTAACCATGATACATCTCAAAGTAAACACAAAGTGTTCAAAAGTAAACACGACAACACATTACCAAGTAAAGAAGACGCATTACCAAGTAAACATGACACTTTGTCGAGAAAACATGACAATTACCAATTTAAAACCCACACATTACCAAGTAAACATGACACTTTGTCGAGAAAACATGACAATTACCAATTTAAAACCCACACATTACCAAGTAAACACCACACATTAGCAAATATAAAACACAAAACAAACCAAAAACACATTACCAAGTAAAACCAAGCATTCCGCTAATAAAAGCCACCCATTACCAAGTAAACATGACAAATTAGCAAATTTACATTACACATTACCAAGTAAACACCACACATTCCCACGTAAACACCACACATTACAAGGCAAACAAAACACATACCCAAGTAAATACCACACATTACCCAGTAAACACCCCACATTACAAAGTAAACACACCACATTACAAAGTAAACACCACACATTACCAAGTAAAAACCACACATTACCAAGTAAACACCACACATTACTAAGTAAACACCACACATTACCAAGTAAACAATACATTTAACCAAGTAAACACCACACATAACCAAGTAAACACCACACATTACCAAGTAAACATCACACATTACCAAGTAAACATCACACATTACCAAGTAAACATCACACATTACCAAGTTAACACCACACATCCTCAAGTAAACACCACACATTACCAAGTAAACACCACAAATTACCAAGTAAACACCTCACATTACCAAGTAAACACCTTACATTACCAAGTAAACACCAGACATTACCAAATAAACACCAGACATTACCAAGTAAACACCAGACATTACCAAGTAAACACCAGACATTACCAAGTAAACACCACACATTTTCGACACATAAATGTTCAAGCCAATGCTATTAAATATTTTGTAAACAAGTTGTTATCAGTCCATCAATTTTATTGATCAGCACACAAATCTGTTTATAACATTCTAAGTTTGGGACATTTGGGCTCGGTCTTAGACAATTTTCTACTACACTTTTTTGGTGTCCCTCGGTTTCAGTGGTTCTCATTTCTGAGTATGTTCCTCGCCCCACATGATTTTACTTCATCTTAATGCCGATATAGTTTTTTTGTGTTGGTGGTTTTTTCAGTCGTTACAAACTGTGTCGTGACACGGTATTTTTTGGTTACCGGAAATTTGATCGAAAGAAACTTCGTCGACGGTAAATTGATCGACGGTAATTTGATCGACCGGAAATTTGGTCGAATCTTTTTTTCAGTTCACACGTTAAAATTTTCGTCAAATATCTTTTTGAACGCACTATTCTATATAGTAAAACAAAATAATGCGTTCAAAAAGACATTTGAAGCAAAATTTAAACGTAAAAACGGAAAAAAATATTCGACCATATTTCCGTTCGATCAAATTACCGTCAATCAATTTACCGTCGACGAAATTTCTTTCGATCAAATTTCCGGATACGGTATTTTTTGGGCCATGTGTCATGACACAGTAGTGGTTCGGCCATGTGTCGTGACACAGTAGTTGTTCGGCCGTGTGTCATGGCACAGTGGTTTGTTTCATTTGTTTTGTATCGTCTGCTGAAGGAGACATTTAGCCGAAACGTCCATTCAATTTTCCTTTTTTTTTTTGTTCAAGCCTCATCAAAAATGTGTTCCACTATTTATTGTGGACCAAGCATCAATTACGTTGTCACTGAAATGATGACCGTTTCACAATGTGAAAAATAGAGTTAGATTAAATAAGTAATATGACCCCCACCCTGTTAATTATGCACGATGATGGTGACTTAGATTTGCGTATATATTAAAGTTTACATTTTATTTATATTTGCTTTTATATTTACGTTTATATTGGCGATCATATTGCCGTTTATATTGGTGATCATATTGGCGTTTATATTGGCGATCATATTGCCGTTTATATTTGCGTGACTAAAATTCTTCCAAACGTAGGTTTAGAAAAAAAAAAAAAAAAAAAAATTACATGTTTTCTTCTATTTCCTTCATCTTCTTCTATATTTTAAGGGCCCCGATCAATTTGTTGATCATTCTGGCGCCTATTCATGTGGAGGGAATCTATAATGTTCTTACGGCTGGTGTTGCTATTGCAACAAACATTAGTAAAGTGTCAATTTCAACAATGGCTGATGTCAAGTCATTGAATGTTTAGAGTTTTAAAATGATTGACGACCAAACACAAGTGTCTTTCTCTATGGTTCCATCAAACAAAGAAAAGACCTTCTTGTGCCATAGGTCACAGGGTATCCTCGTTTTAAAAGATTCGACTTTTGGGGAAATATTTTAGGGGACGAACCTGTTGTTTATTGGTTGTTGGGGATCGGGTCGGTGGGGGTAGGGGTATGTCAAGATAAGTGCAAGAGATTTTTGTTCTGTGTCTGTTTTGAGGATGTTGAGTGAGCGATATTTTTTTTTCTTTTCCTCATTGAATCCCATGGGAGGAATGGGAGTGTGTGTAATTAGAATTGCGAGTGATGTGGATGGGATAGTAACAGAGACCATTGATGTGGATGCGATAGTGACAGTGACCATTGCTGTGGATGCGATAGTGACAGTGACCATTCCTGTGGATGCGATAGTGACAGTGACCATTGCTGTGGATGCGATAGTGACAGTGACCATTGCTGTGGATGCGATAGTAACAGTGACCATTCCTGTGGATGCGATAGTAACAGAGACCATTGCTGTGGATGCGATAGTGACAGTGACCATTGCTGTGGATGCGATAGTGACAGTGACCATTGCTGTGGATGCGATAGTGACAGTGACCATTGCTGTGGATGCGATAGTGACAGTGACCATTGCTGTGGATGCGATAGTTACAGTGACCATTGCTGTGGATGCGATAGTGACAGTGACCATTGATGTGGATGCGATAGTGACAGTGACCATTGCTGTGGATGTAAGAGTAGGACTGAGATTTGTGGTGGATACAATTGTTTCGTGTTCTGTACGCATTTTCAATCCACGTGAACACAAGGAGATTAATCACATGAATCTGAACTGTTTCACTGCGTTGTGTTATTGAATTCTTGCAACACGTCAGCTCCACAGGAGCTAGAAGGAAAGGAGTTTTTGACTCTGCTCTTGTTCTGTGGCTGTAACAAAGGGGATCTAACCCCTACACAACGGATTAGCCGCCACGATGCTGTTCGGTTTATGAGCAGAACATTACGACATACAAGTTATCTTTGGTCGTACAAAATTCGTGTTAAGCTGGTTGTTAGTGTAAAATATTTTTATAAAGAAACTTGCTGTTAAAGAGATTCGGGTTAAAAGATAAAGGTTGAGAACCCTTAGCTCAGACAAACCCACACCTTGATATATAGGACGTGCTGATAAGGTAACTCTTATCACTATATATTTAGCCATTGCACCTGAACAGAACACTGACTTAAGTTTAGCTACGATTAAGGTAACTGAATAACCGAAATATATGTTTCAGATGATGTATTAATGGTAACTGACTTAAAACTACAAGATCTAACTCAACCGTAAAGCAAATGGCTTAGTGTGAAGTTGAGATTGTGTCTTTTGAAACTATCGAGGGAGCCGTTTGGAAAATATGGAAATTCATTTGTGATTGTTACGCACCGAAATATGTGTTATATTGTGCGTGTTGTGTCTTATGCGTTACTTTGGTTACTGATCGCTTTAGCACACTGAGACCAGTGACGTATTGTGACGTGGTGTCGTCACTGTCTTGCAATTCTTTTGAAAGTTTTGGTCTGAGCCTTGGGTGAGAAGGCTGAATGAGCTTTCAGCAGCAAACTGAGTGTTTGAATTATTGTATTACCAGATGTTAGATAAGCTTCGATTAAATTGTACGTTGTTATTAAATTAGGACTTGAGTTCAGTTAATCAGATTACCACGTATGAGCGTGTGAGCGAATATCACGTTGGAAACACAATCTTTACGGACGCGACACTGTAAATTTCGGGAAGGTACTTGCAGGATGCCCTCTCTTGTAAGGTTGAGCCTAAACTCTTGTAACCGTGGCTGGCATTTCATAGGAGAGCCTCATCAAAGCCTTGCCTGGCCTATAACAGGCGAGTGTCATCAGGCCATAAATTAAACTATTGACGCTAGTTTCAGGGCTTGACTAGTCGAAACACCTTCCATATCGGAGCACTAAGAGATTAGACGTTCTGCAGTTTCAGCGGTCGGATTACAGAGTCAACAGTTAGGAGTCCTACGTCTGAGTTGAGTCTATGTAGGTAGTTTCGTGTCTGACAGTGCTCGATCAGTGTAATAAGGCTTTGTTAACTACGAACCAGGAGTCACTCTAAATCGGTCATTCATTGAGCCAATCTTAGCGAAAGTGATTTTTGAGGCTCAGTGACTCCACGTTGAGTCAAGGGCCGGTCGGGTTGAGGCTTGGCCTGCACCATCTCATACATGAATCTGCTCTGTCTCATACATGGGGATCTGCCCTGTCTCACACATGAATCTGCTCTGTCTCATACATGGGGATCTGCTCTGTCTCATACATGGGAATCTGCTTTGTCTCATACATGGGAATCTGCTCTGTCTCATAAATGGGGATCTGCTCTGTCTCATAAATGGGGATCTGCTCTGTCTCATAAATGGGGATCTGCTCTGTCTCATAAATGGGGATCTGCTCTGTCTCATAAATGGGGATCTGCTCCGTCTCATACATGGGAATCTGCTCTGTCTCATAAATTGGGATCTGCTCTGTCTCATATATTATGTGAATCTGCTCTGTCTCATAAATGGGAATCTGCTCTGTCTCATAAATGGGGATCTGCTCTGTCTCATAAATGGGGATCTGCTCCATCTCATACATGGGAATCTGCTCTGTCTCATAAATGGGGATCTGCTCCGTCTCATAAATGGGGATCTGCTCTGTCTCATACATGGGAATCTGCTCTGTCTCATAAATGGGGATCTGCTCCGTCTCATAAATGGGGATCTGCTCTGTCTCATAAATGGGGATTCTCTTTCTCATATATGGGGATCTGCTCTGTCTCATACATGGGAATCTGCTCCGTCTCATATATGGGGATCTGCTCTGTCTCATAAATGGGGATCTGCTCTGTCTCATAAATGGGGATCTGCTCAGTCTCATACATGGGAATCTGCTCTGTCTCATAAATGGGGATCTGCTCTGTCTCATATATGGGGATCTGCTCTGTCTCATACATGGGAATCTGCTCTGTCTCATAAATGGGGATCTGCTCCGTCTCATAAATGGGGATCTGCTCTGTCTCATAAATGGGGATCTGCTCTGTCTCATAAATGGGGATCTGCTCCGTCTCATACATGGGAATCTGCTCTGTCTCATAAATGGGGATCTGCTCTGTCTCATAAATGGGGATCTGCTCTATCTCATAAATGGGGATCTGCTCCGTCTCATACATGGGAATCTGCTCTGTCTCATAAATTGGGATCTGCTCTGTCTCATATATTATGTGAATCTGCTCTGTCTCATAAATGGGAATCTGCTCTGTCTCTTGGGGATCTGCTCTGTCTCATATATGGGGATCTGCTCTGTCTCATATATGGGGATCTGCTCCGTCTCATACATGGGAATCTGCTCTGTCTCATATATGGGGATCTGCTCTGTCTCATAAATGGGGATCTGCTCTGTCTCATACATGGGAATCTGCTGTCTCATAAATGGGGATCTGCTCTGTCTCATATATGGGGATCTGCTCTGTCTCATACATGGGAATCTGCTCTGTCTCATACATGGGGATCTGCTCTGTCTCATACATGGGGATCTGCTCTCTCATTTTGCGTCACCTCAAAGAGACAAGGACCCATTTAAAGGGTACCCATCAAATGCATGGGTTGTTTGGGAGATAGCAGTACATCTCTACCTTGTATTACAACCACCATTTGGACTCTACGTGTGCCGGCCATCAAGCCATTTTAGGAATTTATTTAAATAACGAACATTCATGTCATTCACATTATTTCTAATAGGTTGTTTCAAATTTTCATAACATCTAGACCTACAACGGTCGATTTAACATGTACAATTTTCCACCATTTTAAATGACATTTATAAACTGGGCAGTCCCATCATAGAGCATTAGGTTATTATTGAGATAAAGCTCTCCCAAAACCTGTTTGATATACTCTGGAAAAATATGCACAACTATTTTGGCATTTCGCCTTTCCTTGTTTTTTTTTGGCCAAAGAGGCTTCATTGACAAACCATAGATAGGTATTACACGTTTATCATACAATCTTAATGATACAAATGAAGCAACACGATAAGTTTCGGTATTACAGAAGTCTGGGGCAGCAAGAAGCAATGCTTTTATTCATCTGATCTACCAGTTATTTCGTTCACCTTAGTAAATATGAACTGTACCAATTTTTTTAAAAAAGGGGGACGTGACACATTAAAGTGATGGCGATAAAAAAATAACTTAATGAAACAAGATTCATATAATGTGCCGGTGCGTTTCTACCTATGGCCTCCTTCTGGATTACTAAACAAATCCCATTTAGACCAATATACCCGACACCCGACCAATAATTATTTTCTTAATTATCGTATGTAGTTGTTCTGTGGTCATTGAACTGACACGTGAAACATGTACAAAATCTTTATACGAAGGCTAGCCGATGTACCCGGTATTGTCGAGATAGCGTACGGGACAAAGGAACTTGTACAGCCTTATAATCAACATTAGATTTAAGCGCCATGTACAAAAATCACCGCCCTAGAAAGAAAAAAAAAAATCTCGCTTCTACTAAAACACATTTATAATAACTTTTGTAAACCTTCCGTTTCCCCATAGGATCCCGATCCTAAAGAGAACCCAATAGGATCCGTTTCCTGATGGGATCCTGTTTTCCAATTTATCCCGGTGTGTGGAGGGATCCTGATACCATTTGGATCCCGATCCCATTTGGATCCCGATCGCGGTTGGGTCACGACGACGGTATCCAGATCCCGATGGCATCCCGAACCTTGTGGGTTCTCAATCCCGGTTAGATCCCCATACCGATGGATTCCTGATCCCGTCAATTTTGCTATTCCGGTAGGTTTACTGATCCCGTTGGTATCCTGATCCCTGTGGATTCCTCATCCCGTCGGTAAACCCGATCCCGGTGAGATCGCGATCCCGGTGTATCCTTATCCTCTTTGGGATCATGTTCCCGGTAGGATTTACTTCCCGGTAGGATTATGAAAGATAAGTTTTAAAAAAAAATCTCTAGGAATGTAAAGAAATGAGCTAAACTCAACTAGCATTTCAAAAAGCTTTTAGAACCCATTATATTAAGTCCCCGTAGAATAATATAGAACTTTCTGGATTCAAATTAATATTCTCGCCGAAACCCGTTGCTAAAAATGACTTAATTTTTTTTTCAAATACGAAAAATTATTCAACTAAATGCATTACTATAACAATAGTACATGTAATCTCAAAGGGGACCCCAGCGGTGATGGACATAGCCTAATTGTACCGAATTAGCTTTTCTTGAGATTGGAAAAAGGGGGGGGGGGGCTATAAAAATCAGTCATATAACTTATAGAGTTAAAACTTAAAATTTGTTCCATTAAAATCTATTTAAAATGACATAGTTATAACCTTTTAAAGTTATCGAAATTTCTGGAAAATACTAGATTGGATGTTATTAGTTTAAATCTACCGATATTTCTATAAGGACAATAAAGAGTACTGCTACCAAGGCAGGTTGATAGCTATCGACATTCTCTGTACTGTGATTATAACAGGGTATTGCTACCAAGTCACCTTGATAGCTATCGACATTCTCTGTACGGTGATTATAACAGGGTATTGCTACCAAGTCAGGCTGATAGCCATCGACATTCTCTGTACGGTGATTATAACAGGGTATTGCTACCAAGTCAGGCTGATAGCCATCGACATTCTCTGTACGGTGATTATAACGATTGCAAGACAGTTTAATAAAATCGAATAAATTTGAAACTTCATGCACACATACGACATATTTTGGTACTTGCCTTTTGTCTTTAACTGAGGTTTAAGTTTGTTTAAAAAATATTTTAAGGTCAAGAGATTTGTAAAGAAATATAGAATGTTTCATTTCAAGGGGTACATTATTTCAAATAAATTTGTAAATGTGCAATCACTTCTGTAGAATACATCACAAAACTTGCAATCACTTCTGTACAATACATCACAAAACGTGCGATAATTTCTGTACAATGCATCAGAAAACACTCTATCACTTTTGTACAATACATCACACAACATGCAATCACTTCTGAACAATAATCTATCATAGAAAATGCAATCACTTCTGTACAATAGTACATCACAAAACATGCTATCACTTCTGTACAATGCAATACACAACATGCAATAACTTCTTTTGCACCGCAGATTTATTTCACCTACTATTTCAGAAAAACAACAACAAAATGCTACGCACCAAACAACTTGCAATCTTTCATTTATTTTACAGAATCTCATTTAGCGTAATTATCGGGAATTTGTCAACACAAGGTTTTGCAGACACGAAGTACATTCCTTAAAATTACAAACGTATTTGTATTATTCTTTTTTTCCAGATATTTTCGTGCATGTTTGGGGAATCCCTTTAGCAACAACACTTGGCTGACATTGACAACAGTGAACGCTGAGTTTCTGGTACATATTAGAAAATGTATGGCTACGGCGATAGTGGTTTTGATCTAGATGCTTACAGGATTGCTTATAAGGCATTGTACATCATCTTCATCATCCTCATACTGCTGGCCAACGGTTTGCTCATATTCAAGAATGTCCGTAAATGTGAGTTCATGTACAAGCCAAAAACTCTGACGATTTTATCATTGGCCGTTGGAGATGTTTTCTTGGCTCTGTTTCCCATGGTTGTTCAAACTAAGTTTTACTTTGGAGATTACGCTATGACTGGACTTTCTTGCAGTACTTCATTGGCGTCTCTTGTCTACACACCATATCTTGTCACATTTGTCTACGGTACTGGACTAATGGTGCTCGGCTTTGAAATAATTCAATCACAGAAAAGCTCACCCACAAATAAAAACACGCAAATCATCTACTCTCTCGGGTACAGCAGTTTTCCTTGGATACTTGGACTTATCATTGTCTTACCCCTTGGGATGGCGAACTATAATGTTGACATGTGTCAGGGCACTCAGACCCTAGGTCAAGCCAGAGCGTTGGTTGTCATTGGAATTATTTTACCAGCATGTGGTGCAGTTTTCACTTCAATCTTTGTCAAGAATAGAAAATCTCAAGCAGTGAACAGCCCTGCACAAGCTGTAGTAGTTTTCAACAGCCACGCGACTGCTCCCCCAATCCAGACAACGAACCCAGCTGAAGTGATCCCAGTGAGCCCAAATCATCCACAGTCCTCAATGTTCGCTTCACCAACATCGTTTCCGACACAGGGACAACCACCACAGTTCTACAACCAACCCCCTACACAGGGACAACAAACACAGTTCTACAACCAACCCCATTCACAGGGACAACCACCACTGTTCTACTACCAACCCCCTACACATGGACAACCACCGCAGCTCTACAACCAACCGTACACAGAAGGACAATATCCGAGCAATCTTCAACAATCGCCCCCATACCACAACCAACCCCCTACACAACCTTACTACAAACCAGTACAGACGCAGTACCCAAATCCAACTTACTATCATTGTAATGTTAGTGGTGCCCCAAGTCAAACAGGTATTGGGATCACAGCCGTCACAGCTCCGTCCGGTCCTACACCAAAAGTTAACAGACTATTGTCCATTTCAATAATCTATTTTGTGCTAGTTATTCCGATTGCCATTTATAATCTCAGCTACACACTCAATTTAGATCGTGTTGCTCTACCAGCAGTTCCATTTGCAGTGCTTGATGGGCTAGTGTTGTGGCTTAGCATTGCTAGGTCTTTCATTACACCTCTCATGATGTACCGTTATTCCGATGACTAAACAATATGAGTTAGTATCGTCTTAAAATTTTCAAAGCTATTAAAATTTGATGTCCTCGGCTATGTTCCTTAGTTTTGCTAAACGGAAATTTTGATATGAATTTTGCTTGCCATAATGTTTGTCTTACATGACATTTGGCTGACATGATGTTTGTCTTACATGACATTTGGCTGACATTTGACTGACATAATAATAGTCTTACATGACTTTTGTTTGACCTAAAGTTTGTGTTACATGACGTTTGGATGACATGATATTTGGCTGATTGACATTTGAATTCTTTTGTATTTTTATGTAGATATGAACACTATTTTAGATCTCGAGGGACTTAAATGCAGTAATTATTATATTTGTAAACTTTTGATGTTATCCCTTGTTGGAATAATAATAATAATAATAAAGTTCATTTCAAAAACACGCTTCATCCCCAAAGGCTCGAAGCGCGGTACAAAGTCAACAAAAAACAAATCTATAATTGACCACATTTAAAACAAACGCAACACTACAAAAACTAATTACAAGCATACAATGTCAAAGTCTTTCAACCCATTTCAACCGTGAGCAACACAGCCATTATGCATTAACTGGAAAATAAAGTAGACAATCATCCCAGAAGGTATTTGCGAAATAGATGTGTCTTTAGATCGGTTTTAAAGGACTCCAGTGTCTGGTTGTTTCTGAGATCGACTTGAAGGGCGTTCCAAATTGTTGGACCAGCAAATGCGAAAGTGCGCTTTCCGTAAGTCTCAAGGCAAACACGTGGTGTAGAGAGTTTGCCACTATCGGATGAGCGGAGCTCTCTAGTCGGTACATAAGGCGTCAGCAGTGTTTTTGCATGGTCAAATTTGCGTTTGCGGAGAACTATGAGAGCCGCATTATTCTGTGCTATTTGAATTTTATCCAGGAGCGTAGCTGGAAGACCCACCATGAGAGCATTGCAATAGTCCATGCGTGATAGCACAAATGCAGACATCAGCCTCTTTGTTGTATCAATTGTTAGGAAGGGCCTGATGTGACTAATGCAATGATAAATACCTTTTTTAAAAAATGTTTGAACATAATTTCCCATATGATTATTGACCTCAATTTGCAATGAATGATTGACCTCAATTTGTTATATAATTACTGACCTCAATATGTCATGTAATAGTTGACCTAAATTTGACATGTAATGATTGACATCAATTTGCTATGTATTGATTGACCTCAATTTTCAAATGATATGATTGACCTCGATTTGCCATGTAATGATTGACCTCAATTTGTAATGAATGATTGACCTCCCAATTTTAGAGTAACCCACAGACGAAAGATGACAGTGAGCTCCCAAAAGTATGTCTAAATCGTTAATAAACCTTTACAGCTGTAGTAAGTATGATTGGTCCTAAATGATGACCTGGCGCCTACAAATGTCAAATTATTTTTTTGAAATGTTGTCAAGTCTTAAAGAAAGTCATATATAACCAAATATACCCATATATAATCATAGATAACCATAAATAAACACACAAAACCATATATAACCCTATAAATGAAATAAAAAAATTAAGTAACCATTTAAAATTTCATATAAAATAATATGTTTACATTTTTACAGTGCTGTTTTTATTTATTTTTTAATTATTTTTATTAATTCTTTTTTTTTTAAAATTATATATTTGTTGTTAAAAATAAGGACATACTAATACTGCAGATAATATGATCTTAAACTGTTGCTTGCCTATAACTCTCTAGTTTTAACTAATTTCTTTTTTTTTTTTTAAATATGTATACCTATAAAATTGTTTGCTGGATGCAGTTGTATTTTTGTGCTGTTTTTTATTTAACCCGTGTTCGTTTTTTTTTAACTGTTGCTTGCCTATAACTCTCTAGTTTTAACTAATTTCTTTTTTTTTTTTTAAATATGTATACCTATAAAATTGTTTGCTGGATGCAGTTGTATTTTTGTGCTGATTTTTATTTACACCGTGTTCGTTATTTTTAGAAAATATCCGGTGGTTCCGAATGTAACAAAAAAATTAAGTTAACCTCTCGATTTCTATAATATGTAATACAATCGATTGCCCCGTGTCGTAGTGAGAGCTCACTGCCTTCACCAACAGCCAGCTGCCAGATCCTGGAACAAAGATGATGGACAAACACCCGTCGAAGGAGACGATAGTGCCGTTCATTCCCTAACAAAGACCTTCGTAACAGTCGAAGTAGAACGCAAACCTCAACCTAGTTACCAGAGTTCTGACTTTACGCCAGACGCTCGTTGTGTGACAGACTTTTTTTCCCACTCAATTAATAGTAATTTTTTTTTATAAAAATATGTAAAGGGAGGAGTTAGTTTTGAAGAGGAGTCAGGAAACACCAGTTGAAGAGGAGTCAGGAAACACCAGTTTCATCCATTAACACTATAGCCGTATAGCCCATTAGCTGCATCCGCTAGTGTGGCACCCGGGGTCATATGTCCACTATGCCCACCTTAGCTACGGCTCTTTACACTGGCACTGCCCCCCCCCCCGCAAATCTAAAGTGCACCCCCCCACCCGGGGGAAATTGTCTGACATTGCTTGTATGGAATCTATTAAATTAAAATGTTAGCTAAAGACGATTTTAAACAAAAGAAAGCATGCTGCCATTTTACATTTTATAATTAGAATTCATCTCTACTTTAACCGTCATGCTTTTATGAAGAAATATAATTTTGGAGTATACATGATATACATGATATACATGATATACATGATATACATGATATACATGATATACATGATATACATGATATACATGATATACATGATATACATGATATACATGATATACATGATATACATGATATACATGATATACATGATATACATGATATACATGATATACATGATATACATGATATACATGATATACATGATATACATGATATACATGATATACATGAGATACATGATATACATGATATACATGATATACATGATATACATGATATACATGATATACTCCAAAAGATTATTATTGATCAGGGAAAATAATTTTTCAAGAGTCAGTGGCGGCATGATGCCACCCGGTGCCATACATAAACTAAATTCATTGTGTGTGTTGTGCGCCCAAGATAATCATTTGAAACCAGATTAGATTTAACTCCGTTAAGTCACATTGATCGACGTCAATGAAGGACATAGCATAAATTGAGGAGTCTGAGTCTTAAGCAAAAAACGAGGGCAGGTGTCCCCTTTATTTAAAAATAAGAAATTCAAAATATGACCATGGATAACTCCAAAAGTTGGATCAAAGTACAGAGAGAGTACTCGAGGGAGTTCCCAATTAATCAGGACCCCAGCATTCTATTCAACATCACGTTAGAAAAAAGCATTAGAAACATACGTGTTAGCACCAGAGAGGTTATACAGAACAACTATAAGGAACTTTATAAAGCCAGCCACTGCAATACCTGGTATACTCAGGCGCTATAGCGCTACTTGGTAGAAACATACGTGTGAGCACCAGAGAGGTAGTACAGAAAAACAAACAAGAACTTTATAAAGCAAGCCACTGCAATACCTGGCATACACAGACGATATAGCGCTACTTGGTAGAAACATACGTGTGAGCACCAGAGAGGTAGTACAGAAAAACAAACAAGAACTTTATAAAGCAAGCCACTGCAATACCTGGCATACACAGACGATATAGCGCTACTTGGTAGAAACATACGTGTGAGCACCAGAGAGGTAGTACAGAAAAACAAACAAGAACTTTATAAAGCCAGCCACTGCAATACCTGGCATACACAGACGATATAGCGCTACTTGGTAGAAACATACGTGTGAGCACCAGAGAGGTAGTACAGAAAAACAAACAAGAACTTTATAAAGCCAGCCACTGCAATACCTGGCATACACAGACGATATAGCGCTACTTGGTAGAAACATACGTGTGAGCACCAGAGAGGTAGTACAGAAAAACAAACAAGAACTTTATAAAGCAAGCCACTGCAATACCTGGCATACACAGACGATATAGCGCTACTTGGTAGAAAAAACAATAATATAATTAAAGCGTTCAGGGAACTTGAAGATGTCACAGTCAAAGCTCGCCTTGATGTAAATAAATCGAAGGCAATATATATGATAATGTCAAGAAATGCGCACAATGATGACGACATCAATATATATGAACAAACACATCTTTGAGAGAGTAGCAACTTTCAAATATCTAAGGGTGACTAAAAATAAGCAAAAGGGAATTACAATCGGAGGTGAAAGAAACGAAAACAGCATGCAACTGTTCTTATTTCAACTTACAAAAGCTACTACGAAGCAAAAACCTCTCTAGGGGAACAAAGAGGAAATATGCACCACTATCATAAGACCAGTATTAACTTAAGCAAGTGAGACTTGGTTCTTACCAGAAAAGCCGAGAACCTGCTCAACAGACTGAGATGGATTGACGATGTAGAGAGGGAATTACAAAGGTTGGGGGTTCGTGCATGGAGACGGAAAGTGATGGATTGATCCAAATGGAAGAATGTGGTGAAGCAGGCCAGGGCAGTGGTGGAGCAGGCCAGGGCCCTACATGGGATTAAGAGCTACTAGTGAAGACATTGCAGACTTTTGGGTTTCAGAAGCGCCAATAAAAGGACATCACTCACTCTTCCACCAGCCCAATATTAACTAAATTCATTCCAGTTAGGAGCCCTTAGGATATGCTTTTTTTGTCGAGAGATACTCCCTACCTTAGACTCGCCCCATAAAACTTTATAGGCCCCGGGCAATGTTTGATAATTCAAGTGTACAGAGTTGAATATAGTTTACATCATTATCCACTTATCTGGAGATCATCGGGAGAGATACTATTTAAGATATTTTAGGTGTCACTTGATCTCGGAGCCATAGTGTAATGTCTGCAACCCATATAGCAGCATGGGGCTTTGCATATTTTAGGGATTTTTTGTGCTGTAATTACTTTAAATTATCAACTTTTACTGCTAGGTAGGGAATGACAAAAACGAAAAGTAACAGAGGTGCCACAAAAGCTCAAACGACGTCTCTGCTTGACTAAGTGTGTTATACAAATATATGGTTTTTTAAAATTTTTATCAAACAGTAATGTGTTTTTTAAGTTTTATTTACAATATTTAGGGGTAAAATACACCAAAAAATAATGGATTTACAATAAAATATTTTTAAAATTTTAAAAATAATTCCCTCCAAAATGTTATCCATCACAAAAAAGAAATGCTAAAATAGTTTTACATTTTGAGCGAAAAAGAAAACCCCAAAACATACGTTTATTTCTATGTGGGGCCGCCGTAACACCCCCCCCCCCTCATGTACGGTGATTCTGATTACTAAACGATGACACTCGATAACTGCTCACTTTTCAAAAGATAATAGCCTAGCGCGCATCTCCATACTTCACTATGCCAATTTGCCAAACATGCATGGACATTTAGCTTACATGACATGTGGTTATCATGAAATTGGGTTAACTTTACATTTGGTTGACATGTCTATCTACATACTATTTATCGGTGGACATTTATCACTTTAAATGAAATGCAAGTAAATATTTTCCACTAATCACACTAATATATCAAATTAAATGATATACATTTATTATACAATATATCAAATTAAATGGATTACACTTAGTACACTAATATATCAAATTAATTTGTATATTAAGTACCCTAATATATCAATCTAAATATTTTAACTTATTACACTATTGCATCAAATTAAATGTTATACACTAATAACCCTAATTTGTCACATTAAATATTTTACACTAGTTACACTAATTTATCAAATTAAATGTTATACCCTAATTATACTAAGATAGCAATTAAATTGAATACACTAATAACACTAACATATCAAATTAAAATTAGCTGCGAATCTTGTACTTATTGTGAGGTGAAACCCACGTTATTTCCAATGTTAGTTAATTTCAACCCATCTATTCTATTTGCAATATCCAGTTGATTTCTGTGTTAATGTTGTTGTACAGCAAAAAAAAAACAAATGATTGGCATTGACAATGTTTCGACTACTTTCGTTTGGCATTTATTGTATCTGTTCCATGGCACGGAAATGACATTCTTTCATTTATTTTTTAATAGGGTTTCAATAAAATACATCGCTTTTCGTTGTCCAAAGATAAACGTCTTAATATTTTAGCTTACTCCGAATTACAAGTTTGCTAGAAAGCCATATAAGTCAGCTAGCAAGCACTATTTGTCAGCTAGCAAGCCATATAAGTCAGCTAGCAAGTACTATTTGCCAGCTAACAAGCCATATAATTCAGCTAACAAGCACTATTTGTCAGCTAACAAGCCATATAAGTCAGCTAGCAAGCACTATTTGTCAGCTAGCAAGTCATATAAGTCAGCAAGCAAGCCATATAAGTCAACTAGCAAGCCATATAAATCAGCTAGAAGCCATATAAGTCTGCTAGCAAGAATTCAGATAGCAAGCCATATAAGTCACCCAGCAAGCACTATTTGTCAGCTAGCAAGCCATATAAGTTAGATAGCAAGCACTATTTGTCAGCTAGCAAGCCATCTAAGTCAGCTAGAAAGCACTATTTGTCAGCTAGCAAGCCATATAAGTCAGCTAACAAGCACTATTTGTCAGATAGAAAGCCATATAAATCAGCTAGCAAGCCAAATACGTCTGCTAGCAAGTCATATAAGTCAGAAAGCAAGCAA